GCGGTGCGCCATCGGGGAGTTCGCAAACAAACAAAACAAGTCGCGCGCCGCGGCCCTGCCACTGCGCGCGTTGTGTTCCCCGCGCAGACCGGGCCAGCGCTGCCGCGCGCTCGCTGGCCGCCGCCGCGGCGACACCGTCCCCCGCGCATTGGGCGCGTCGGCCTCGCCCCTTCGCCATCTGGTTTGCTTTGGTCGGAGTTGGCCAGGGCGCCGCGCGAGCAGCTTCCCTGGCCCCCTGGTCGCGTTGCCGCATCCTGTTCGCATGGGCAAGGGCCGCCATGGTGGTGGCCCAGGCCCTCCAGGCCCCTCGCGCGCGGCGTCGTTCCCTCCGCGGTTCGCTTGAGCCGCCCCGCGCGGCGTTCCCGGCCCGCCGCGCGCTGTTTCTTGTCGCGCAGAATTGGGCAGCCCCCCTCACCCCCCCCCTCCCCATCACAATTCTGCGCAAATGTGTGATTCCCCGCGCGCGGTGGGCGGGGGCTTCCGAGCCCGCGGCTGCCTTGGGGCGTCGCGCATTTTATTTCGACGCGACGAATCGGCCAGAGCCGTCGCGCGCGCGGCGCCCCGCCCCCTCGCGCATTGGCTGTCTCCCCCGCGCGCCCTCGGCCAGTGCCGCAGCGCGCGCGGCGGCCCACCAGGTCCTTTATCGATTGCGCATGCGGCCCAGGGCCATTGCGGCGGCCAGCGAGCCCGCTTCTAGCGCGGGGCAAGGGGCCCGGGGGCCGCCGCTCGCACCCCGCCCCTCCCGCGCCCCGTCTCTGGACGCTGGTGCGTGCATTCTCGTTGCCTTGAAGCATATGAGTTTTGCTGTCCAGGGCCTCTCATCGCATTGTCATGTGTTCTTTTCGGGCCCTTTTGCAGGGCTTGCGTATTTCAACCCTTGCCAGCTCTCCTTCGCCCACCGAATATTCATTATGTCGATTTCGTTGACCCCGCCCCGGATCTGCATATGTCCAGTCCCACTGCATAACTTATGTTTGCCTCGCTGGGGGGGGCAGTGCACTGCGACGCGGGAAGCGCCGTCAGAGCAGCTCCCGGCGTCGCGGCAAATTGTTTGCCGAGGCAAGCGCGCCGCGCAATCTGATTTGAAATATGCCTTCAAACTGCCTCGCGCGGACAGCAGTGCCCCCTTGCGCGCGGGAAAGATGCAGATCCCCTCCCGGGACTTACAACCCGCGGCGGCGAGACGCGGTCAGTGGGGGGTGCCCGGGGGGCGCTCAAGGTAGACGCCGCGGTGGGCCGAGGCGCCCTCGCAAGGCCCCAACCATGGCAGTAGACGGCGCGAGTCGGGTGGGACACCCAGACGGACCCCGCAACCATTGGGGGCGCCTGGGAGGCGGGGGCGGGGGCCCAGCCAAGGGGGCCATCGGTCGGCGCCGCCAGGCGATGGCCCACCACCTCGCGTTGGGCGAGGAAGAGGAGCTCAGGGACAGGGCCACAGGGGGGGCGAGGAGAACCCGCCCTGAGGGATAACCCAGGGCAGCAACCCGCCCTGCGGGCCCAAATTTGTAGCGGGCACCCCACTGAACACAGGCGCGGGGAGCGAGTATCTTCGGGAACCTCGCGCGGGGGACCCGGGCGGCCTACCCCGCCGCCCGGCAGCAGCGGCTCTATACTTCTACGAGGACCCGGAACCAAGCCCTTTCCTGAGGGTTCGGGGGGGAAGGGCGAACGGAGGATGAGTTGGTGCTCCAAGATTGGATGGCGCACCGGGCAGGGGGAGGTCGGAGGGCGCCACTTCCACGTGGCGCCGGGGTACCCCGACCCCGTTGAACTGGCCCCGCGAGCGCGGCTGGCCCTGGGCGGCCCCCGTCGGGAGGGGGCCAAGCTGAGCCGGAAATACCCCGTCAAGATCGAGATGCTGGCCTGGTTCCGCAGGGGGCTCGACGCTGGGCAGGCCGGAGGCGCCTTCCTCTGGGCGGTCATGGCGGTCGCCTTCTTCTTCGTGTTGAGAGCGTCGGAGTACCGAGCAGACCCGGGTAAACCCTTGGCCCGGAGGACTGGGTCTTGCTCGGAAGGGACGCGAACCCTCGCCTGGAAGGAAGCGTTTGCCACTCGTTCGGGGCCAGGGGGCAAGATCGACCTATGCAATTTTGGCTGCTGCAGGAACCGCTGCCGCGCCCGGAATGATCTGCCCAGCGAAGGCGCCGGCGGAGCTAGCGAGGCTAGCCCCGCACAGGTGGACCTTGGAAGGGGCCTTCCCCTGTTTAGGGATGGGGGGGTAAGCCGTCGGGAGAAAGGCCGTCGCGGGCGGCGCAGGCAATGGGGGTCGACCCGGCTCATGTCGGGAGCCGCTACCCGCGCGTCGGAGGGGCGGCGGCCGTGCACCGCGCAGCGCTTCGGGCGGTGGAAATCCAGCGCCTTCCACGCCTGCCCGCGGGAGGCGCATGTGCCCCAAAAGGGTTTGGCGGAGGCGATGTCGGCCCAAGGGTGCCAGGTGGCAGTGGGAAGGGTCACGCGGGGTCCGGGTTGGGGAAAATGCAAACCTGGAATAAGTGGAGGTGCAGTTCATTGCAAACTTGCCGGGGCCGGGGCTCCCTTTCGCCCCCCCCCTTTTTTCAATGAGTGGCGCTTGCAGGCCCACTGGGGGGCAGTTCCCGGGCCCATTACCAGTGCGCGCTGCTTACCGGCGGTGCCCCTGGCCAGGGAAGGGGCCCGCGGTCTCGGGGCCCATGGGTCTCAATGCCCTGGGGGGGGGCGCCCACAACCCATTGGGTGGCTGTGAGCGGGGACGGCAGCCAGGGGTGGACTGCTCGGGTCAGTAACCCAGGTACCCGCCCTCCCCAGGTGATGCACGGGCGTAGCGGGGTTTGTGAAGGGGGCGCTTGCCCGCTGTCTGCTACAAGGGTAGCGACGCGGGGTGCAGATTGGGGGCGGGTCGACCTGGCGGGAGCGGGCGGGGGTCGCGGGAGACTTATCCCGGACGCTCGCCATTGCAATGTGTTCCCCGTGCTGTAGCGTGCCAGGTGTCCCCTCCTTTAACAGCTCAATCCGGCAATCCGGCCTTATGCCGCGCGCCTTCCTCTCTTTTTTTTTCATCCGCAGCAGTTGGCTTCAGCACGGCTGCGCAGCTACAGTACACGGGGACCCCGCCCCGAACCGGGCGGGGGCCCCGTGGGACTTCTCCCGGATATCCGCCATGGCAAATGGCATTCCTTCTTCGTCCTTCTCGTCGCGCGCTGGGTGCCACTGCTGGATTTAAGTCATTATGTTTTTTTGCTTTTGAGTTAAATGTCGCTGTAGGTTTTGATTAGTTTGGTTACCCTTTTTCGAAAAAAATGTATATATGTATGGCAGATGTATGATATATGTAAATATACATCATGTCTCATGTACATATACATATACATATCTATATCTACATATATATATATCCGTATATATGCATCCCTCTCTCGTTCGTTTGTGTGTGTGTGTGTCTCTCCCTCCCTCCCTTTTCTCTCCCTCTCTCTTCCTCTGTCTGTCTGTCTGTCTGTCTCTCTCGTTCTCTCTCTCTGTCTCTCTTTCTTTCTCTGTGTTTTCTGTTGTGGTCTCTCTCTCTCTCTCTTTCTCTCTCTTTCTTTCTAGCAATGTTTCTTTGTTTGTTCCAACCATACTGTGGTGTTGGGTTCTCGTTTGGAAAGACAGCACCCCGTGTCACCTCCTCACTCCTTCTCCTCTTCCTCCTCCTCCTCCTCCTCCCCCTCCTCCTCCTCCTCCTCCTCCTCCTCCTCTTCCTCCTCCTCCTCCTCCTCCTCCTCCTCCCCCTCCTCCTCATCGTCACCATCAGCATCATCCCGCTCATTTTGGCACACCCCTCGCGCGGTTCGCAGCCCCACATGGAGCTCCAACGAAGGCCCCACTGGCACAGGCCGCATGCGGGGACCGCGCCCATTTTGGCACGCCCCTTACACGGTTCGTGGCCCTACAGGGAGCTCCAGCGAAGGCCCCAGTGGCACAGGCCGCATGCGGGGACCGCGCCCATGTTGGCACACCCCTCGGGCGGTTCGTGGCCCCACATGGAGCTCCAACGAAGGCCCCAGTGGCACAGGCCGCATGCGGGGTTGGCACACCTTTCACACGGTTCGTGGCCACACAGGGAGCTCCACCGAGGGCCCCAGTGGCACAGGCCGCATGCGCGGACCGCACCCATTTTGGCACGCCCCTCTCACGGTTCGTGGCCCCACAGGGAGCCCCACCGAAGGCCCCAGTGGCACAGGCCGCACGCGAGGACCGCCACCCATTTTGGCACACCCCTCACACGGTTCGTGGCCCCACTGGGAGATCCACCGAAGGCCCCAGTGGCACAGGCCGCATGCGGGGACCGCCGCCCATTTCGGTTCATTTGTCATACGGTTCGTGGCCCCACAGGGAGCTCCACCGAAAGCCCCATTGGCACGGGCCGCATGCGGGACTGCACCCATTTTGGTACGCCCCTTACACGGTTCGTAGCCCCACATGGAGTTCCACCGAGTGCCCCAGTGGCACAGTCCGCACAAGGGAGCCGCACCCATTTTGGCACACCCCTCACACGGTTCGTGGCCCCACAAGGAGCTCCACCGAAGGCCCCAGTGGCACAGGCCGCATGCGGGGACCGCCGCCCATTTTGGCTCATTTGTCATACGGTTCGAGGCCCCACAGAGAAAGAACTCCACCAACGGCCCCAGTGGCACAGGCCGCCTGCGGCGACCGCCACGCATTTTGGCACGCCCCTCACACGATTCGTGGCCCTACAGGGAGCTCCAACGAAGGCCCCAGTCGCACAGTCCGCCACTCATTTGGGCACGCCCATTCACACGGTTCGTGGCACCACAGGGAGATCCACCGAAGGCCCCAGTGGCACAGGCCGCATGCGGGGACCGCCGCCCATTTTGGCACACCCCTCACACGGTTCGTGGCCCCACAGGGAGCTCCACCGAAAGTTTCACCCACAATGCGGTATTCGCAGCTGCATATTGTTGGGTCGTTCGCCAGGCTAATTGTTTATCATTTTTCTCTCGCGCACTTTTTTTTGTTGTCCCGAGGCTCGCGGCCAGGTGTGGAACTCCGAGGCTCGCGCGTGGGAGGCGTCGCCCCATCGCCGCCGGGAAGGAGGGGGGAGGAGGGGGGCAACGGCAGGGAGACAGGCTCAGGGAGGGACTTCTCGACCTCCAATCGCCCACTGATCGCCGCTAGGGCGGGACGTGCTCAGTGAGCGACGCATCGGCCCCCGATCGCCCACTCATTGTCGACAGGGGCCCGGCGCCATCGCACCGCCCGGGAGCGCGCGAATGCGCCATGGGGGGCGCCTCGTCGACCCATCACAGACGCAACGCCGATTCTGGCTCGATGTCTCCTGCCCTGAGCCGGTTTCCCATGACCTTCCCCCGCATGCAGGAAGCGGAATCGATCGATCTGAGGGCGTCTATCGAATATTGGCCAGTCGAGAAAACGGCGGCCAGGGAAGTTTCTTGTCGCCACGGTTGGGCCTGCTTTGAAAAACGGGTCAGGGTCTATTCCGGGAGGGGTCTCTGGATCGTTTTTGTGATCGTATTTGGGGCGGGCGAGACAGTCCCGGGCTGCGCCGCGCGGCGCGGCCGCCTTGCTTTCGCTTTTCCTCCCTCCTCCCGGAGCCGCTCTGGAGCCGCCCCGGGGGCGGCAGCGCGGCCGCCGTGCTTTCATCCGTCCTCCCTACCCCCCTTTCCCCCCACTCGTTCGTCTCCTCACCCTGCCGCTGGGCTCCTTCGCGCTGATAAAAAGTGGTGAGCCAGCTGTCCACCTCGCCGATCCTGGCCAGGCACATCCTTGGCCCAGGATCGGTGCATACGTCGTCCAGCCTGGCCAACAAGGAATTGGCATCGATCTTGGGCACAGGATCAGGTCGGCAAGGATCGGTGACGTGGTCGGTTGACGGATCAAGGCTCGAGGACTGGTATTTGCATACGTTTTCGGCTTTTTCTTCTGGCCGTCTTGTTATCACATAGAGCCGTGTTGTTTCTCTCCCGTCCCGTCTTCTCCCGCATCCTGATCACTACCTCTCCTCCTTGCGGCGTCCTCCCCATCTTCTCCAGGCCCCCCATTGGTCCGAGTAGAGGCGGTTCGTAGATTCGCGCCGCATCGCCGGTGCGTGGGCGATGCGGCTCGACGCAGAATCCGATATTCTTCACGCTGGCGTCGCAGATACGTCGCCGATGCGGCGCGATCTTTCGACTACCTCCCAGGACCCCATCTTGGAGGCCTCAGTCCTCGCTGGCATCCATGGGCGCTGCAAACTTCGCAACCGTCGCCGCTTTCGTGAGCTCTTCGGGGGTCCAACAGTTTTGCGGCTTTGTCGGAATCCAAGCCAAACTTCAGCTTCTTTGGGTGTTGCCAACGGTGCGATTGTGTAACGTTTGTGGTCACGTGGGAGGCCCAGCGGGGTGCGGGCCTTACCGTGCCCTACAGGAGACTTCGCCCCAGCGATGCCAATTCCGCGGGCTCCTGGCAGGTCCAGCGTAGTGCTGTCTTGTGCCGTCGGACAAATTGGTAGCGATCTGCGATCAGGGGCCAGAGTCTCTGCCCCGAACCTGGCGGCACGCCTGCGAAATTTGGACGGCCTTGCGGGGAAGTGCAGGAAAGATGGCGAGAGGTCGGCGATTTGGGTTGATGTGGATACGGCTGCCGAAAAGTGTGAACAACAAATTGGGTTGGCTATGCGGGTCTGGCCTAGGACTGTGATGAATCGCTCCAGATCGTTCCGAGACGTTCTTAACGGAGTAGCCTACGGCCGTTCCAGGCCAGAGCGTTTTGGAATGGCCGCGGCGCCCGATACAGCCTCCAGAAGCGCCAGATCTCAGCGGTTCCCGACTTGCCCCAGTCCTACGACATCCCGGTGCTGGCTTCGTCTTAACAGTTGCTTGCGCGCATGAGCGGCTGAGCGCTAAGCCCGCATCGGGCGTGCCAGCTCGGTCGCTCGTGTGCCCCTCCTCTGCGTATCACACACACGCCAGGGCCAGGGAGGCTCGCGCAGCTGCGAGCATCTCGTGCCCACGCCGAACGGCGCATGGTGGAGGCCACGATGCTGCGTATGAGCCTGGGTCCAGGATCGCCGCTGAATTGGCGATGCGACAGAAGCACCACGTATCCAACGGCCGCATATCACCCCTCATCGCGATCCACGCTGTCCTTAGCGTCATCATTTGAGTGAACGCCCCTAAGGGGGCAGACACCGCCTTCCAACCATTTTGGGTGGGCTTTTCCCCGAAAGGGCGTAGGCCCAGGGTTTTCTTTTATTTGTTCACCCCCAGTTTCGACTTGCGGAGGGCCAGCGAAATTATTTGCATTTTGTTTAGAATCCATGATACAACACTAGGTGTGGAGACACTTTACAATTTGACGCGACGAATATGGAACAGTTCACCTGTTGCGTGCCCGCCCGCGGATGGCGCTCTCCGCGCGCAGGAATTCCGAGGATGTCTCGAGCGAAAAGCCTGCTCTGCAGAAGGAAGGTTGGCTTTTCGTGTGCTCTCTCGAGGGTGGCGCACCATGCGTGCCGAACATCTGAGGATGTCTCCGGCGAGATGCTTGTTTTGCAGCGCTTGAGAGGCCTGGGCGCCCCAGAAGGCCCAGGTGGTTTTGGGAGTGCGGTCGGACCGTCCTTTGCAAAGGATCGCGGCCTTGGGAGCGCGGATGCCGCATAAGTTACAAAGGATCCTGGCACTGGGAGCGCCTACGCAATGTGATGGACTAGGGATCCTGGCCGTGGAGGCGCGAACCCAGTACAAAGGATCGTGGCCCTGGGAGCGCGGACACTGCGTAATGCGCGAGGGAGAGCGGCCTTGGGAGCGCGGACGCAGCGTAGTGAAGGAGGGATCGTGGCCCAGGGAGAACGGACGCAGCGTAATTCACAAAGGATCCTGGCCCTGGGAGCGTGGACGCAGCGTAATTTACGATCGGGCCTTCTTCTTCTTCTTCTTCTTCTTCTTCTTCTTATTCTTCTTCTTCTTATTCTTCTTCTTCTTATTCTTCTTCTTCTGGGAGGGGCGGACACCGTGTAATTCATTAGGGATCTTGCTTCTGGGGGCACGGACACAGAGTAATTGACGAGGGATCGTGGCCCTCGCAGCGCGAACGCAGTTTGATTTACAGGCTACCGTGGCCCTAGAGCGTGAATCCTTTGAATTTTCTATTGGTCATTGCCCTGGGAGCGCGAATCCGTTGTTATGTTCGAAGGGGCAGTGGCCCTGAGAGCGTGATTTCCGCGGCCCTGGGAGCGCGCACGTCATGTGATGTGTGATGGATCGTTGTCTTGGGAGCGCGGGCGTTCCCTGGCAAGTCCCGGGGCACGTCCGCTGGCACGTTCCATGGCGCGCCCCCCTGGCACGTCCTGTGGCGCGTCCCGTGGCGCGTCCCCCGGGCACATCGCGCGGCGAGTTTCTTGGCACGTCCCCTGGCACGTCCATTGGCACGTCGCGTGTCGCGTCCCCTGGCATGTCATTGTGCGGCGCGGCACAGCGCAGAGAAGCACAACACAGCCGCTGGCACAGTACCATCACCATTGGCACCTGGCACGTTCCTTGGCGCCTCCCCTGGGCACGTCGCGTGTCGCGTCCCCTGGCATGTCACTGCGCGGCGCGGCACAGCGCAGAGATGCACAACACAGCCCTTGGCACAGTAGCATCACCATTGGTACCTGGCACGTTCCCTGGCGCCTCCCCTTGGCACGTCGCGCGGCGCGTCCCTTGGAACGTCCCCTGGCACGTCCGCTGGCAATTTCCGTGGCGCGTCCCTCTGGCGCGTCCCGTGGCGCGTCCTTTTGGCACATCGCGCGGTGCACGTTCTCTGGCACGTCCACTGGCACGTTCAGTGGCGCGTCCCCTGGTACGCAACTGTGCGGCGCGTCACAGCGCAGACCAGTACAGCACAGCCCTTGAAACAGCGTCATCACCATTGATATCTTCAACATTGCCAGTGCATATCGCCGGATTAAGGTGCTTAGAAACGTTTCCATCCCTCACAGTTCTAAATCTCTTTCCGGATTCGTGGGTCGACCATCTTGGAAGGGATGCGGAAATTGTGGGAGGGTTGGTGGAGCAACAGGAGGACGATCTAAATATTCCCACGGGGCGAGAGGGGGGGGGTTAAGATGGCCCCAGAGGGTTTCCCAGGCCGCGACTAAATCGGCAATTGGAATGATCCCAGAGGAGGAGAGGGGGGCGGCAGACGGCTCCAGAGGGCCTCCGGAGACGCCAGGCAATTGCCGAAGAGGGCCCCAGGAGGCTGCGAACACAGCCCAAAAGGGCACCCGAAGGAATAGAAACTTGCGGGCGACACCGAACAGGGACACGGAGAGGCAGAACGGAGCATTCCCATTTAATGTTTGGGGCTTCAGAAGGGGCCTCAAGGGACCCCCTGGGCGCGCCCGAGACCGCTCGGGACAGCGCCAAACAGGCGTCCAGACGGCCGAGGATGACCCTGCGAGGCTGTCAGGATTGCCGCAGAGACTTTCCGCATGTTCCGAGATGGCCGCAAGGGCTCGCGGAGATACACAGACGCTTGAAGAGAGGCGTTAGGAACAGCCCGATGAGGACATATTCGGCATACGATTCTTTGTGTTACAATGGTTTCCCAACCCTCCTGTATGTTGGGTCCTTGGTCTGAATTCGCACGGACGCGCGCCTCCTTATCTTCCTCTTTCTTCTCTTCACCACTTCTCATCTCCGCCCCTATGCCTCCTCATCCACGTCGTTATCGTCGTCGCCGTCGTCATCGTCATCATCATGATCACCATCATCACCATCATCATCACCATCATCATCAGCATCATCATCAGCAGCATCATCATCCCCAGGTACGGTCGATCATCATCGTCATCATCATCATCATCAGCAGCATCATCAGCATCAGCAGCATCATCATCATCAACAGTAGCAGTATCATCATCATCGTCATCGTCGTCGTCATCGCCAGCATCATCTTCATCATCACCATCAAAACAAGCAGCATCATTATTTTCATCGCCACCATCAGCAGCATCATCATCAGCATCATCAGCATCATAATAATCACCACCATCACCGTAGTCATCGCCGTCGCTGTCCCACAGGTAGCTCCACGCTTCTTGGCTCCATACGGGGCTCCACCGATGGCTCCAGTGGCAGGGTCCGCATGCGTACTCGGGTCCATTTTGGCACACCCCTCACACCCTTCGCGGCCCCATAGGGAGCTCCACCGAAGGCTCCAGTGGCAGGGTGCGCATGCGTACTCGGGTAGATTTGGGCGCACCTCTCACACGTTTGGTGGCCTCATGGGGAGCTTCACCGAAGGCTCCAGTGGCAGGGTCCGCATGCGTACTCTGGTCCACTTCGGCGAGCACCTCACATGTGTCGTGTTCCCATAGGGAGCTCCACCAAAGGCTCCAGTGGCAGGGTGCGCATGTGTAGTCGGGTCCAGTTTGGCACACCCCTCACACCCTTCGGGGCCCCATAGGGAGCTCCACCGAATGCTCCAGTGACAGGGTGCGCATGCGTACTCGGGTAGATTTGGGCACAACTCTCACACGTTTGGTGGCCTCATGAGGAGCTTCACCGAAGTCTCCAGTGGCAGGGTCCGCATGCGTACTCTGGTCCACTTCGGCGAACACCTCACACGTGTCGTGGTCCCATAGGGAGCTCCACCAAAGGCTCCAGTGGCAGGGTGCGCATGTGTACTCGGGTCCATTTTGGCGAACACCTCACACGTTTCGTGGCCCCATAGGAAGCTCCACCGAATGCTCCAGTGGCAGGGTCCGCATGCGTATTCGGGTCCATTTGGACACACCTCTCACACGTTTCGTGGCCCCATAGGGAGCTCCACCGAATGCTCCAGTGACAGGGTGCGCATGCGTACTCGGGTCCATTTTGGCACACCCCTCACACGCTTCGTGGCGCCATAGGGAGCTCCACCGAATGCTCCAGAGGCAGGGTCCGCATGCGTACTCGGGTCCACTTCGGCGAACACCTCACACGCTTCGTGGCCCCATAGGGGACCCCACCGATGGCTCTAGTGGCAGGGTCCGCATGCGTACTCTGGTCCACTTCGGCACACCCTTCACACGTTTCGTGGCCCCATAGGGCTCCATTGGCAGGGTCCGCATGCGTACTCGTGTCCACCTCGGCGCGCCCATCGCACGTTTCGTGGTCCCACAAGGAGCTCTGCAGAAGGCTCCAGTGGCTGGTTTCGCGTGGAGCTCCACGGAAGGCTCCAGTGGCAGGGTTCGCATGCGTATTCGAGTCCATGTTGGCACACCCGTCATACGTGTTCTGGCCCCATAGGGAGCTCCACCATGGAGCTCCACCGAGGGCTCCAGTGTCAGGGTTCGAATGCGTACTCGGGTCCATTCCGGCACACCCATCACGCGTTTCGTGGCCCCATAGGGAATGCTTTTTGAAGGCCCCAGTGGGAAAACGCGTATGCGGCCACCCCGCCATTTCGGCACACCACTCACACATTTCGTGGGCTCATAAGGAGCTCGACCATCCGACCTTCTAAGTTAGAAACACTCCCAATTCTTGCCCACGAGCAATGCTCGCGTGCCGTTGCTATGCGGTTTGTGCCATCGCTAGCGTCCTTCGAGGTTGCCCATCGGGCCCTCTAACATCACGCGTATTGTCGGCCAGCAGCTCTCTAACGGTGGCAGGAGAAGCACGCCTACCCAGTTTGTTTTGCATTGCATTTGATCACCGCGGGGTTGCGAGCTGTCGTGGATTTATCCGGCCGAGGAAATCCAGGATCCGTTATTTCTCTTTCTGCTCTCTTTGCCTTCGTTCTCGTGTTCCGCCGCGCATTCGGCATTCGCCATCGCTTTCCCGTACCAGATTCGAGTCGTGAGGGTGCGCGCGCATTGAAAGGAGTTTTCTGTTACGTGGCGAAGCGTTCGTGCGGGTTGCAGTTCCTTCAGTATATTCATGTGCGTTGAGCGTTCCTGTTAACATTTGCCACTCGTTTACAAAAGGGGTTGGGTTCTTCGCCAGGGTAGTGGCTTGCTGGGGGTCATGATTTAACTGCTTCGCTCACTCCGCCAGCCCATTTCGCATACGGTGGCTGCATGGTGGTGTGCTCGCACCCATGGGGAACGGTGAGGCAGTCAGGGCTGTCCTCGAGGAGATTGTTGGACATGTTGCTCGCACACTGTCGAAGAGACCTGAGATGGCGCCAAGAGAACTCCAGGGCGCCAAGATGGCTCTGAGGTCGCCAAGATGGTTTCGAGAGGTCGCGCCCTGAGGGCGCCAAGAGGCCTGAGCGCGCCCTGAGGCCGCCAGAGAACTTCAGATGGCGCCGAGAGGTCGCGCCCTGACGGCGCCAAGATGGCTCTCAAGAGATCTCCAGCCGAGTTTCCAGACGTCCCTGGGTTGTGGGTCGGAGACCTCGCGGATGCTTCTTGGAGTCTTTTCGGAGGGCTCTCGGGAACCTTTGGGGGGCAGTTTTGAAGCATTTGGCAAGCCTCTTGGGAACTTCCTGGGGGCCGGTTGGGGCTTCTTGGGGGCCTGCTGAGGGTTTCGGGAGCCTCTTACGGCCTCTTGGGGGGGCTCTTGGAGGCCTTTGGGGGCTTCCTGGGCGCCTCTTGAGGCCGAGAGCTCGGGTTCCCCCTCTGGGCCCCCTCTGTCGGCCATCCTAGGGCCGTCTTGGAGGCCTCTTGGGCAGTCTTAGCGCCATATTGGGCAATTCAGGGACCCTCTCGGACGCTTTTTGTGCCGTTTTGGAGCGATCTTGGGGCCTCTTGGGCCGTCCAGGGCGCTCGGCAGCTCGAACAGGCGGTACCGCCAACATCGTCCGAGAACCCGAGCGAGATCAAACATTTGTGCATCTTCGGTGCCTCTCAAAGTCCTGTTGGGACCGTCCTGGGACGCCTCGGGCGCTTCTTGGGCCGTCTTGGATCGCCCTTGGCCTAAGGCCGTGGGGCCTGCCGCCCATTTGGCGCCGCATTGGAGCGCTCTGGGGGCCCCCGAGGCCGCGCCCAGGAGTTCTTGGCATCTCTGCCCGACCTTGCTGGGGTTCTCTTCGTCCGCGGACCCCGCGGGGCCGCCGCGCGCGCGAGGCAGAAATGTAGGCTCAAGTTCTGACCGGAGATCTGAGCACGCCTTGGTCAGGAGGGGAACGAGAACACACAGACACACTGAATCGGCGACTCCCAGGAAAAAATATGGGGAAGTGTGGGAAGTAGGGGGGAAGACGAAAATCAAGAAATCGTGGGAAAAGATTGGGAATCCTGTTATTTTATCTATTTATTTGTGTGCCCCAGGGCCCCTTCACTCTGACCCGTTGGGCCGGCGAACTGTGATAGTGTTGTTGTTGCCCATGCCATCAAGCCCTTGCAGTATCAGCGCCCTGTGTATCCCTCCCCGTATTCGTCGTATCCCGTCGTCCTTCTGTCGTCCTCCTCCTGCTTCCTCTCTTTCGTCGCCTACTAGCAAAAGTCCCACTGGATGTGTAGGGTAATGGCTCCCCATGCGGTCGCCACAAGCGATTACTTGGCCTTTTCATCACGCCTTCGTCTTGGATGGGCCTATTGGTGTTGTCGTTTGTTGCAGACGGGTTGTGTGCGCCCTGGGGTCATCTTGGGTTCCAGGCGGAGAGCAGCGAAGGAGACGGAGGCATGGAATGATGTGGAGAGGGAGGCAAAGGAGAAGGATGATAACGACTACGACGAAGAGCGATGAGGGTCCTTCAGGTCAGGAACGTGGCTAACGATGAGCAGAGCCACGGACAGACAACCGCTTTGGGTTCAGGTTTTTGCAGATCCTGCTGGGAATTGCAGCTGACATTCTTCGTCTGCTGTTCGCACTCCATAGCTACGTCTGGAACGCAGATATTGGATGCGCAGGAGTGGCATTGCAAAGAAGGAACCATCCAACATTAAACCAGGAGGTACGTCATGTCCTTCTCTTCTTGCGCGCTGTCAGACAAGCATGATGGGGACGAGGGGGCGCACGAGGATGAGGAAGGTCAGGGAAACGGCGGTTGGGCCCGTTCAGGGTTCATTTTGATCCGATCGATCCGACTCGATATTGATTCAGGCTGGGCTGTTTCGATTCCGACATTCCGTCGATCCGAGGTGTCCCGACGTTTGAACGGTGTTGCATCTTGGCGCGGTCGATTCGATTCGATTCCGATTCCATGACGATGCGGCCCGATCCGATGTTTTTTCAGTTCCTATCTGACTTCCCTATTCTATGCTGACCTCGTCCAACGAACCCAGGTGGACTGGTACTCCCTGCCCGAGGAGGTCTTAGAGGTGTTCGGCGAGAACGGTATCGATGCGGCAGGCGCCGCCGCGGACGTCTCGCGGCCGTTTGCTCTAGCTCGTAGGGGGGGTGGGCGCGGAAGGTCTCTGGGACGTCGCAGGGTCTTCGAGGTGTCTTCGGGAGGACGTCGCAGGTTTTCAAAGCTTTCGGAGACTCTTCTGGCGTTTCCTGAGGTCTTCGGGCCTTCTGGGGGCCCGAGCGACGTCCCTCAAGCCGCCGGGAAGATACCCCGACATGCAGGAGCTTGTTTCTTGATTATTTAGCCCATAACTCGCCTTATGGGCCCCCCGCCCCCCTCCCCCCGTAACGCTCCCCGCTGTGTGCATAGGGATCCGCATAGGCATCCGCACAGATATTCGCATAGGGTTCCGCATGGGGATCGCATAGAACTATCCATCGGGATTCACATAGGGATCCGCATTGCGATCCCCAGGGATCCTCACAGAGATTCGCATAGGGATCTGGGTAGGGATCCGCATAGGGATTCGCGTGGGGATCCGCGTAGGGATCCCCAGAGTCATTCGAATTGGCATCCGCATAGGGATCCGCATAGGGATCCACATAGGCATTCTCATAGGGATCCGCATAGGGATGCGCATAGGGATCCCCAGAGGGGTCTTCATAGGTATCCGCATAGAGATCCGCAGAGGGGCGGTGGTCGCGGGCAAAATGCGGTGCTCTCACGCCACGTGGATGCAACGAAGACTTCGCAGGCATGCGCTCGCCACAACTCCTCGTCGCTCTTCGTTGTCGGTCGTCGTCGTCGTCTTCGTCGTCGTCGTCATCTTAGGCGTCGTCGTCGTTGTCGTCCGTCGTCGTCGCTCGCGGTCGCTCGTCGTTGTCGGACGCCTTCGACTGCTTTCGAGGGCCTCGGGCGGCCTGCGGATGACCTCCGGAAGGCCCCAAGAGGCCTCCGGAGGCCTCTGGAAACCTCCGGAAACCTCCGGAGCCGTCGCCTGTCGTCGTCGTCGTCGTTGCTCGCCGTCGTCGTCGTGGTCGCTCGTCGTCGTCGTCGTTGCTGTGGTCGCTCGTCCTCGTCGTCGCCGTCGCCGTCGTCGTCGCTCGTTCTCGTCGTCGTGGTCGTCGTCGTCGCTCGTCCTCGTCGTCGTCGTCGTCATTGTCGTCGTCGTCGTCGTCATCGTCGTGGTCGTCGTAGTCGTGGTGGCTCGTCGTCGGCGTTGTCGTCCTCGTCATCGTCCTCGTCGTCGTCGTCGTGCGCACGGACGCTGTGGTGGTACCAGAACTGCATGGTGGGGGGGGGCGTTACGTTGTGCCCCCCCTTTGCCTCTCCTCATAGCGCCCGTTACATCGCCGCGATTAATGAAACGCGCTCCAGTCAAGATGCTGAAGCAGGGACCAATCTGGGCTCAGGAGGGGCTTGTTGTTCGGGCCAAACTCATTTTTGGCCAGACAATTACATTCGCTCCTATTCAGTGTTCTATGCTAGCGCGGTGGAAGTACAAACAAAAAGCGAGCGTTGGAAGTACAATCACAAATGGGGCGTTCTTGCCTTGCTTTCGGGCCCAAGTGTCTGGCTCGAGCAGTTCTCGCACGCAGTTGCCACACTTGCGCTGCGCCTCTTTGAAGACGCACATTGGATGATCGTTTTGGGGGCCTCTTTGCCCACTTAGATATTTTTTGACTCTAGCTCGTGTCTAGCTCGACTCGGGTTCAACCCAAGTCGACGGACGTTCGACGCCGCAAAGACGTATCGGTGAAGCGAGTGGTTCTGGGAAGTTCATCTCATGCGGGGAGTCTCCGGAAGTTCGGTCGGGAGTTGCACAGCCAGGCTTCACGCCTCCAGCGACGAGCGCTCCCATCTCACGTCGGAAGACTGCGCGTCGCTGGCGCGCTCGCGCGCGCGGGCCGAACTGTCGGTCGAGGGTGGGTCGGCGGGCGGTGAGGAGGAGGGGAAGAAGGGGGAGGAGCGGGTGGGGATGGTGAGGCGGAGGGAAGTGTGAGGAGAAGTTCTTCATCAACGAGCAGTGGAAGGAGACGAGGTGGAGCATCATCACGAATGGGAGGGATGGTGGACGGGGACCAGCCAGGGGTCTTGGTTCCGAAAGCCAGGTTCCGAAGACCATGGTCTGATTTGCCCATTTGCCGCTCGCTCTCCGCGGGAGGGCGGACGGAGAGGGAGTCTGAGGCGGGGGGATGGGGAGATGGGCGAACGACAGAGCGAAGGGCCCTGTTTTTCCTTCACAAGCCAAAATGAAGGAGGGAGGTGGATACAGGAGGAGGGAATTCGGATGCAACTTCTGGGAAGTTCAACTCAGCGTCGGCCCTTGTATAATCGTGTTCGGAAATCGACCTAATCCGGCACCTAATCCATATGAGTCGCGTCTTATTCGCGTCGTATTCGGCCTAATCCAATTTGAATGCCTCTTATTGAGTCTTGGTCGGGCTCTTGTAGCCCGTGATCGTTCTCACGAAGACTTCCCGGGAGCCATTTCTTCACCGGACGAGGACTGGGGCGGCACGAGGAGCGGACGGAGGCTCCGGGCCGAGAGCCTGGTGGCGGCGAGGCGGGCGAGCGGGGGCGGGGGCGGGGGCGATGATCCTGAGGGAGGAGGAGGGGGAGGAGGAGGAGGCGGGGGAGGAGGAGGGGGAGGAGGAGGAGGAGGAGGAGGAGGAGGAGGAGGAGGAGGAGGAGGTGGGTGTGATTCTGGATCGATCCATCGATGGGGGCCGAGCGGAGGGCGCCCGCGCAGGCGGGGGCGCCGCGCAGGGCGGGGGCGGCTCCTCGTCGAGCGGCAACGCGGCCCCGAGCAGACCCAGAAGGAGCGGGGCGCGACTCGCGCGGTGCCTCCTCCTCCCCCTCCCCCCCTCCTCCTCCTCCTCCTCCTCCTCGTCGAGCGGCAACGCGGCCCCGAGCAGACCTAGAAAGAGCGGGGCGCGACTCGCGCGGTGCCTCCAGATCTGGACGCCCGAAGTGGGTACTGAAAGAATGGGTACTATGCCCAACAGCGGATCTGGTTCATTCTGAGCAGGATTCGCTGTCCACGCCGCCGCGGCCTGTGTCCATTCGAGACAGGAGGCCGCCTGCCCAACAGCGGCCGCTGTTGGTTTGGGACAGCATTTGCTGTTGGGCATCGTACCCATTTTTTCGGTACCCATTTCGGGCGTCCAAACCAGAAGCCCAGACCTCTTCGCGTTGCGAAAGCAGGACGACGGCCGTTGGAGGCATGAGAGTTGTTTGAGGGTTCTCGTGTGGTTCCGTGGTTTGCGGGCGTTTTCGTGGACTCTTCTGGGATGTCTCGCCGCCGGATATTTCCCAGCGGCTGCACCTCGTCGAAGGCGTTCTGGGGGTGCCAGTAGTCAAGGAGGCCCTAAAGCCAGAACTCCTCGCTCCGCGAGGAAAAAAGGAACACGACGGATGACTGATGGTTTGCTGCTTGTGGGAGCCTTCGCCAGGCCACGGCACCGTCAAACAGCGACTCGGGGTGGATTGCCCGTCCCAGGGAAGGAGTCCAGGCCCGTGGGGGGCACTGTTGTGAACGCATCATGACGTCGGTGTTCTAGAAACCTCCTATGCTGTCGCAGAGGTTTGTTTGGGGCCCTCAGCCCATCTCCCTCCCTCCTCCGCATTGCGCCGCCATGAGCTGGTTCCCGCGAATTCAATCTCTGAAATCTTGTGTGTGTGTGTGTGTGTCGGAGGGGCCTTTTTTAGCCGTCTTCCGATTTTGCCGCCCTCTCCTCCGACCTCCATCCCTTTTCCGTATGACTAGCTTTTTCTTTTCGCACCCCTTGTACGTGTCAGTATAGGGCGGGTTGGGAGTTCCGCTTGAAGTTTCTTCACCATTGAGGGAGGTCATCGCTGGCGCCAGCACCGACGCCATGTTGGCCCCACGCCCACACAGCGAATTGCATTGGGCTGCCGAGGGAATGCTCTTGCATGCCGATGCTGCAAGGTGCTGTCTGGATCTACCCGGTCTGGCCAGCGCTTTATAGTCATATTCGCACCATAATATTGAAGACGCCTACGGCGAATCACCGCCGCCCCCTGCCTTTTTGGAAGCGCCTATGTGGCCGAACGTTGAGGCCAGACCTTCCAAGCTATCGGACCATGCGTTCCCCGAATCGGTTTGGAAACACTTTGGGTAACACGTGGGCATCTTGAAGGTCATCTTGGCCGCCAGGAGGCCATTTTGACCCTTTTGGGCCTTCTTGGAGGTCTTGGAGGGCTCTTGGGCCGTCTTGGAGGTAATCTTGAGCGTCTTGGATGCTTCTTGGGCCGTCTTGGGGCCTCTTGGGGCCGTCTTGGGCCTCTTGGGCGCCCTTTGGGGGCACTTGGGCCGTCTCGGGCCGTCGGCAGGCTGTAAAAAAGCAAATACCACAATCCTTGAAACACTCATGGACAATCAATGATTTTGGCCTTTTCGGGACTTCCTGGAGGGCCTCTTGGAGGCCTCTTGGGCCGTCTTTGGCCATCTTAGTGCCATCTTCGGCCGTCTTGGTGGGCCCCTTGCCCGTTCGACGCCGTCGGAAGCCGTTTGGGGGGCCTTTCTGAGCCGACTTGGGGCCCTCTTGGACTGCTCCAGGGCCGTCTTGGAGGCCATCTTGGGCGTCTTAAAAGCCTCTTGGGCCTTCTTGGGGGCCTCTTGGGGCCGTCTTGGGGACCTCTTGGGCCGTTCTGGCGCCATCTTGGAGGCATCTTGGCGATCTTTGGGCGATCTTTGGGGGTCTCCTGGGCCGTATCGGGCCGTCGGAAGGCCGAAAAGAAGCAAGTGTCAAAATCCATCAAAAGCCTATGGAACATCAGTGTTTGTTGCCCTTTCTGGCCTTACCGGAGGCCCTCTTGGAGGCCTCTTGGGCCGTCTTGGGCCAGCTTCGAGCCAATTTCGGCCATCTTGGTGGGCTCCTTGCCCGTCTGACGCCGTCGGAAGCCGTTTGGGGAACTTTTCTGGGCCGACTTGGGGCCCTCTTGGAGCGCTTCGGGGCCGTCTTGGAGGCCATCTTGGGCGTCTTGGAGGTCTCTTGGGCCGTCTTGGAGGTCCTCTTGGGGCCATCTTGGGGGCCTCTTGGGTCGTCATGGGGCCCTCTTGGACGGAATGCCGAGAAGAAGCAAATGCCCAAATCCATCCTTCAAAAACCTAAGGACAATCAATGATTTTGGCCTCTTCGGGCCCCCTGGAGGACCTCTTGGAGGCTTCTTGGGTCGTGTTGGGCCGTCTTGGAGGCTTCTCGGACGACCTTGGAGGTATCTTGGACTCTCTTGGCCCGTCTTGGAGGCCGTCTTGGACCATCTTGGGCGGACTTGGAGGCCATCTTAGACCATCGTGGGGGCCATCTTGGGTCAACGTGGCCGTCTTGGATGACAAATTTGGGATTTGGGCTCTGGGCAGGTGGCCGGCGGGGCGGGCCGAAGCCCCAGGGGGAGCTCTCTTGGAAAAATAACCAAAGTCAAACCGAGAGGATGCAGCACGCGAGGCACCCCTGCGATGAATCGACAGGGGGCAGCGGATCGGCATTCGGCCCATGCCGCCCCCGTGCCTGGGTTATGGGTATGAAGCCTACTGGATGATCGTTGGGATCTCCTGGGGGGCCTCTCGGGGGCCTCTCGGAGGCAGTTTTGGGCGCTGCTGGGGGCCGTTTTGGGCCCTCGTGGGGCCTCTTTTTGGGTGGTGGGCGGGGGATCAATCGGAGGGGGACGGGGAGGGTAAGCAGGTGCAGAAGAGGTGGGAGGGGGGAGGGATATGGCACTGGAGGGGAGGAGAAGGAGCGGCGGAGGGAAAGGGTAATATGATGGGGGGTGGGGACAGCGTGGAAACAGGAGCGGACGATGGGGGGGTTGGCAGGGGAGGAGTGAGAGGTTGGGGGGGCGGCGGTGGAAGGACGCAGGGGCGGCGGAGGGGGATATACATTGCAGGGAAAGTGGATGGTGGAGGGAGGAGAGGGGGGATCTTAGGGGGGGTGAGGGAGGCAGAGGAAGGGGGGACGGGGGGGGGAGGATGGAGGGGATGAGGAGGTGGGGAGGTGGAAGGAAGAGTGGCCGAGAGGGGTTTTGTTGAAGGCCCCACCGTTTTGCCCTCCACCCCCCCGCGCCCTTCGGCAGGCGTCGTGCGCCCATTCGAGGAAGCTCGTGGGCACCGTCCTTCTCGTTCCACCTCCTCGCCCTCCTCCTCGCCCCTTCTTCCTCTCCCGCCTCTATCCCCCTCCTCGCTCCTCATTCCTCTCCCTCATGCCCCCTATTCCTCCTCGCCACACCATCTCCACGCTCCTCCCAATCGTCCTCCTCCTCCTCCTCCTCCTTCTCTTCCTTCTCCTCCTCCTCCTCCTCCTCCTCCTTCCTCCTCCCTCCCTCCCCCCACCGCCAACTCTTTGCGAGGAAGGTTGTGGACACCGCCCTCTACGACCTCCTGGAGGTGGCGCCCGAGGCCCTGTCCAACCGTCCCAGCGGGCCCCCCTGCTCGTCGGCTCCGCCGCCGCCGCCTCATCCACCTCCGCATTTTTTTGGTCGAGTCTCAAGCGTTTCCCCCCAAGGAGCTCTTCGGGCAAATTGTCTCCGGTGCAGCATCGAACGAGCATCGTCCACGATGGGACCGGAGGCGAAGCGGAAAGCGCAGTGTACAGCGGGGGAGCCAAAACAAAACACACGTTTTTTTGAACCCCCACTGTGCATTGCATCTCGTCGCCGCCTTCTTGCTTCAGATGAGCAGCCCAGGTCGCTTCGCGTTTTGGAAACAACGCGACATTTGTTTTTGTTGGGGTAAGTTTCGACTCCCAGGGGCCGTCAGAAGACGACTCGGGATGAATACTGGTGCCCAGAATTCGGTCTACGTTGCGAACAAAAAACACGACGTCCGAGGTGCTCCACGATTTCGATGTTTTCCCGCTGCTCCGCGCGGGCTAGAATGACTGACGCTGGCCAGATCGTGTCTGGGGCCTTGGGACGCACCCTTAGCTAGTCGTGTTATCATGGCATCGTTCTTGTCCGACTGCTTCTCCTACCTCCTTCCCTCCTCTCCCTCCCTCCCTCCCTTTTAAACCGTCTGTGGAAGGGCTAGCGCCCGAGCGCGGGTGAGCCGCTGGGGTGAGGGCAATTGCAGGTGTTCGAGGCCCGTTGCACACGGTGTGTTGTAGTCCGGATGTTTGTCAGTGCCATTTGTGAGAGACCCGCACCCGCTCGGGTGTTTTCGCGAGGAGCTCTGTGAGTTTGGGCGCGTCCAACAACCTCGTGGGCTGGGATGTTCTGGGGCACGCCTCCGCTCGGCCAGACTCCTGCCGAGTTCTGTTTGAGCGAGGGCTGGGGTAGAACCAGTGTTTCCTGGCAAAGAGCTCGGCTAGCGACATGGACCTGACCCGCGAACCGTTGTGTGGCGCCCCCCATAAACATATAGCAACATATGTAGCTACGTAAGCATACGAGTGTGCCCCATGCAGACTGTTCGGAATGTACAGGGCCCCTAGTTTGAGCTTTTGATAATCTTTCTAAGCTTCTTTTTCTCCCCCCTCCATCCCCAGATCTCAGTCCAGATCTTTATTAATCGCTTCGCTCATTCCTCTGGTCCATCTTGCTTCTCTGGTGCTATATGTTGGTGTGTCCGTGGCGAGCGAGAAGGAGAAGGAGGAGGAGGAGGAGGAGGAGGAGGAGGAGGAGAAGGAGCAGGAGGAGGAGGAAGAGGGGGGGACGAGGATGAGACGGCCTCTGGGGGAGATTTCTGCGGCCTCTGGGAGGCAGTTTTGCGGTCCCCATGGGGCCTCTTGGGGACGTTTTGGGGGCCTCTTGGGGCCTCGAGGGGCCCCTGAGGGCCTTTGAGGGGCCTGCTGGGGGCCTCTTGGGACCTCTCGAGGCCTCCAGGGGACTTCTTGGGATCTTTTGGGAGCTCTTAGAGGCGTCTTGGGGGCCACTTGGAAGCATCCTGTGGACATCTTGGGGGGCCTCTAGGGGCCTCTTTGAGGGCGCTGAAACCGCCCCTAGGAGGTCCGGCATCCTTGACGAGACCTCGCTGGGACCTTGCCGGCTCTTTCTTTCCCTGGGATCGCCCAGGATATTTTTCGTCCAGGAACTCCCAGGGGCCGCCCCCGCGCGCGCGAATTAGAAATACTGTTAACCAGTTGCCAGGGAATTTAGCACGCCTCTGGCCAGTTGGGCCGGCGAGTTTTTATATCCAGGCGTTCTTCCTCGATTTCTCCCTCTGGGGGCCACTGTCGGGCCCCCCGGACTATCAACAGCTGGTCAGGGGCGAGAAGTTGCCCAGGGGATAGGGGATGAGACCGCTGGGGCCGCGCCGCCGGATATCACGAGGCAGTTGTCCTTCCGATCCGGGCAGGTTGACTTGCAATTGAGGAGGGGGGGGGCATGGCGAGGCCTGAAATGAAAGCAGGACTCCACGGAAGTCGGGATTGACGTGCACGCATTCTCGGCCCAGCGCTATTTCAGAAGGCGGCGGAGGTGGGAGGGGGGTCGGGATGCCATGCGCGTTGACTTGATGGAGTCTAAAGCAGAGACAGCTTCCAGGGCATCGCTACTTCCCGCTGGGCTTGGAAACGAGGCCGCACGGCGGCGTCAGGAGATCGAGGAGAGGCCGCGACTCGCCCGCCCGCCGCCCCAAGAGGCCACGGAGGGCGAGATCCGCAAAGCCTTCTACAAGAAGAGCCTGGCGCTGCACCCGGACAAAAACCGCGACAATCCTGAGGACCTCGCCCCTCCTCGCCCCTAGATCTCCGACAGTCACAGCTTTTCAATCGCGGCGTGTCTCCTTCCTCCGCAGGCCGCTTTCGGGCCCCAGGGCCATCAGACACGGACTCGGGGCGAAAAACGACCCCTGGGGAAGGGGTCGATTCTGGGGCCGCGGATTCAAACATTCAGGACGAGCTCTTTCTCCGCTGCTGGCAGAAGGGAGTGAGGGCGGATCCATACCCCCCCCACACGCCCCCCACCACCCGTAGCCTCCCCCGCCCCCCCACCCTCTTCCTCGGGAAAATGAGTCCCCCCAGGAGGAGACGACGACGACGACGACGCACGACGGACGACGACCACGGCGGCGGCGGCGCCGCCGCCGCTGCCAACGTCGACGACGACGACGAGCAGAGCAAAGCGAAGCAACGCAGAGCAGAGTAGCGTAGAGTAGAGTAGAGCAGAGTAGAGTAGGCGTAGAGAAGAGCATAACGGGATAGTATCAGGGTAGGGTAGAGGAAATTAGAGTAGGGTGGGATATCGCAGGGCAGAATTACAGTAGCGTAGAGAGTAGTGGGGAACATGTAGAGCAGATCATATTGGAGTCGAGTAGATACTATATGAGGAAAGTCGACTAGAAATAGAGTAGAGCAGAGCTACACAGGGCAGAGTTGGAGTAGAGTAAACTCGGTCCACATTAGAGTAGAGTGCAGTATGGTCGGGTACAATAGGATAGGGTAGATGAGGGCAGAGTAGAAAACAATTATCGATCCCCCTGGTTATTGCGAAACCCCTAATTAATAACGGAGGAGGGGACTCCACCAAAATAACACCCGTGGTTTTGCACCACGCCAGATAATATACGTATGCATTTCCGCGGGAGGGTGGTGGGGAGGGATCGTGGCCTTGGGAGTACCCAGGTACTGTTATTTCCCATGGATCGTTGCCCTGGGAGCGTGGGCGCCGTGCAATTAGCAGGGATCGTGTCCTTTGAGCGCCGAGGCAGCGCAATGCACGATGGATCCTTCAGCAAACTGCAGGAGTCCGCAGGAGTCTTTTCCAGAATCCTTCAGGGATTATTTAGGACTCCCCAGGAACTTGAGAAATCGTCGGGAATTTGACTGAGCGTTCAGGAAGCCTTGAGGAAATCTTGGGGAAGACTCGGGAATTCATGAATCCTCCAGGAGTCGGCAGCAAACCTGCAGCACCCTGTGAGATTCTTGAGGAGTCCGCTGGAATCCTAACAAACCCAACGGATCTCTCAGGGCCGAGGCCACAACGTAATTCATTATGGATCTTGGACTTGGGAGCGCGGACGCAGAAGAGTTTTCTATGGATCCTGGCCGTGGGAGCGCCGGCAATTTGCGAGGGAGCGTGGCCCTGGGAGTGCGCAAGCATCGTTACTTCCACTGGATCTGCCCTGGGAGCGCGGGCGCCGTGCATTTTGCAGGGATCGTGCCCTGGGAGCGCGGACGCAGCGCAATCTACGAGGGATCCTTCGGTGGCGTTCCCGTGTGGGCGCGGCGCATGCTTCGTTCGCCGAATCGCACTGCCGCGGCAGCGGCAGCGTGGCCGCGCTTGAGCGGGCGAGCTGCTGTCCTCACCCATGGCAGTGATGTGTCGGCGCGGCCCGCGTAGTTTTCCATTCGCCTGGTCGTCGGACGCGGGAGCGCGCTCGAGCGCTTTTCGTTTGCTAGCCAGAAGCGCGCGTTCCAATCGCAATATCGAAGTTTGCTGCAATTGAGTGCAATGTTGTGGGTGGGAGGGTTGGAATGGGCGGGGCCCTCTGGTTCGTTCGACCTGGCGAACTTCATCCCCCCCCCCCCCTACGCCTGCTCCTCATCCACGTCCTTCCGCTCCTCGCCTGTCCTTCTCTCCCCTCCGACTCGCCCTGTCCCCCAGTCGACTGGTTACTCAGAGAATCGTCCCAGAGAGTTGCTCGCTTCCGGCGTCCATGGGCCGCTAGTTGCGCGCCACGGGCCCCCCAATCCGACCAAGGATGGGGCAGAGGTCGAGAGCCCCGAAGGGCAAGCGACTCGTTAACGTCGGATCGTCGGATGTACCCGGAGGCCAGCCGCATGTTCCGCAGGGCCGAAACGGTTCAAACATGTTGCTTTTGGCGCGTCCCGCCCATACCCCCCGCCCCTACACTCGCCTCCCATCCACTGCACCAGAGCCCGCGCAGGCCACGCAGCAATTCCAGGCAGTCAGCGACGCGTACCGCGTGCTTGGCGACGAGGACAGACGTAAGGAGTACGACGAGCGAGGCAAGGACAGCGCATCCGAGGCCCCGCGGCGCTTTTCGCCAAGAGGATGGAGGGATGGAGAGGAAGCTTGTTACACGAATGCAGCCAGGCATTGCGCGTGCTTGACCGAGGGGAGGGCGAGGAGGAGGATGAGGAGGAGCAGGAGGAGAAGGAGGCCGAGGGTCGGAGTCAAACCAAACATGCACCACACGTCCATAGAAGCTTGTCTGCTCACTACAAGAAGCGTCTCCTTTGAAAGGCCTGCACAATAGAGCCTGCAAGTTAGGCGAGAGCCCCGACAATGATTTGCCTTGTAGCCTCCAAACGCATACTGAGGGACGCGAGAAATTATGGTCCTACGTTTCAGCGAGGCGTCCAGTGATATCCTCCTGTCGTAGAAACACGGCCCACCCCATCCGTGCAGCTGCTGCACAATTTTACACGTGTTGTCATGAACTTCGAAGAAGTATCGAGCATCAGCTCCATTAAAAAAAGTTGCCCTTAACCCGTTTAGCGTTACGTGCGTTGCAGTTCCGAGTTTGCAGATCTAGCAAAGTCATCCGTGTCAGCCACATGCTTGAAAAAGAGCCCTCCTCCATCGTTGTAGGCGGCATAGTTCTACCAACCGAGTGCGCGCAGCGTTGAGACGAGACCCGCATTGTGACAACTACACTCGGTCCTTCCTCCAGCTGCAAGTTTGTAAGTCGAGAGCGCGCGGCGCGAAGGGACGAGCCACATTCTGATAAACAACTTCCCTGCCAGTGTTACACTTGTTGCAATCGTTTGGGGCGAATGTGCGCAGCGCTGAGGCGATAAGCCACATTTCGGAACGCGGCACCCTTCCACCATGAGAGAGTGAGAGAGATTATGTGCGCGGAGTTGAGGCGAGTGAGATAATGTGTGGGAAAAGGAACCGCCCTTGAACCATGAATAGGTGGCGAACTTGTGAGCCGTGCTCAGCGATAAGGCGAACACAACATTTTGAAAGCGACCTCCTCAATCGTTGAATCGGCTGTAAGCTTGTAAGGTGACGGCGCGTGGCTTTCAGGCGAACGCAACGTTTTGGAAATCACGTGTGTTCCATCCTCGAACCTGTTGTCAATTCCGAGCTTCAGGGTCATGAGTGGTGGGAAAGGCTGAGGCGATACACCCTCTCTACCGACCCGTTTGGGGAATGGAGTTGCCCACCCTACCGACCCGGTTGGGGGTGCGACACGGAGGATTGATTTAGAAGGAACATCGATGGACGACGACGACGACATTTCCTGCCTTTCACCCCCCGATGGAGCGTCCCGACCTCCCAGTGCCGCGCCAAACAGGAGGAGGACCAGGAGGAGGAGGCGTAAGAAAAGGATACGGGAGGACAAGACGGTCCTGGAGAGGGTTGTTCGCGAGCACGTGCCCCTGGGGCCCCGTGACGGTCGGATCGGAGGTCCTCGTTGATGGGCCCTTACTCAATGGCGACCTCGAGGGCGCGAAGTTCTTCGCGCTTCGCGGTTTGGCTCCGGTTCCTCATCCTCCTTTTCTCCACTCGGGGGCGGCGCGAGGGCGCGAAGTTATTCGCGCTTCTCGCAGAGCGAAGCGCGAAGTTAGGCGCCCTTGCTTACTTAATCCCATGATCGACGTGCTAAGGAGCTTGCGTGCTCAAGGGCGGGGGCAGGCGGCAGCAGGTCTCGCTGGAGTGGTGGCGGGGGGAGATCCTACCCAGGACATTCTCCTTGCAGGATCGCAGGATGGTAGACAGCAGGTGCCAGCTTTGTCCAGTACGAGAGAAGGGGCCAGGCTCATCGGCCTGTAGCTCGAGATCTCAACGTCCAGGACCTCCTCGATATACGGGTGCAGGAGTGCACCATGCCACTACACACGAGGGCGCTTCTCTCAAGTTCGGAGTGGACATGACCAACTCCAAATCAGCAGGCAGGCTTCCAGTTGGACATCGTACCACCCAGCGGAGTGCTTGCCAGAAGAGTGTGCGTTGACGATTCTTGTTTCGATCAAGAGTGTCTTTCCGTTGCCCGTGCAGGATGGGCGCTCGTCACAGTCTCTGACAGCGGGCACATCATCGGCTCAGTATTTTGGACCCCTGCCCCACAGTGTTCAGTTGGCAGGAGCGGGGTAGGTATTTGCCTTTCTGATGGCGTTTCGCTCGGCTGGCACTGCAGGGCTGGGCTTATCACGGGCTGCACATTGGTCGAGGATTGTTGGGTGTTCGGGCCGTCGCAGACTCTCCGGGATGTGGCGTTCTTTCAGCTTTGGGAGGAGATCTTCAGGCGTGTTGAGATGATTGGGGTGGAGGTGGTGTCAGTGAGTTGGTATAGTTCTCAGCTATCCATCAGCCAGTCCCGTCGGCAAGGTGTCCTGTGAATGGCCTGGAATAGGTAACGAACCAGCCGGCGTGCTGGCTAAGCGTGGTGCCCTTGCCCGCCCTTCCGACCCTCTCACACAGGCCCAGAATAAGCGTAGCGTTGCTCCGGTCAAAAAGTCAGCTCGGTTGATTGTCGAGGCCACGGGTGGCCTTTTCGCGGACGAGTTCCCAGACGCGACTCAATGTGATAGGCCTGGGTCGCCGAAGCCGCGAACCTTCAGTTCATTCCTGGTCCAACCGGCTAGTGGATTGATAAGGCGGGCAAGCAATACAATTGTGTGACCTGCGGAGCGCGGGCGATCGAGGTTTCACACAGATTAGGTGCCTTGCGGCGGTTCGCCGAAGATGGCGAGGACGGCTCGGAGGAGCCACCATGGTTGGTTGAGGGGGGGGCGGGTGGCCAGGTGCTCGTGTTGCGGCGCTTTCGGTTCCGCCCGTTCCCGCTTCCTTGGGGCCGAGTGCAGCAAGGTTCCTCGCAACCGAGATGCAGTGCATAGTTGGCGCCAGGCCAGGTCAGGAGCGGAGTGGACCCAGGCTCGGGAGCGAGCTTCGGGAGTTCAATTCCGCTATTGTGGAGCTCGCAGGTGGGGTGGATCTCCGTCGCCCCCCCCCTGAGTTCACCAATTTGGTGCATTTGCGTTAACATCTATCCGACGGCGGTAATGGACACCAGTGGACCAGCGGAGCCCATAGGAGCCAACCGGAGAAGGGAGGAGGAAGAGGAGGAGAAGGACGATCGTCTCGAGGAGGAGGGGCGGAGGAAGAGGAGGGAGGAAGAGGGGGGAGGAGGGGAGGAGGGGGCGGGTGGAGGACGATGATGACCACGATTTCTGCCCCCTCCCCCCCCTCTTCGTGCTGTTGGAGGGGATGCCGAAGATCGAGCCCGCGGTCTTCTTCGCCGCGCTGTTCGGTTCCCACCACTTCGAGCCGTGGGTGGGGCGGTTGAAGCTCGCGCAGGACGTCGACGGCGACCTGCAGTCGCTGTTCAGGGACGCTGCTTCGGCCGCCGCCCCTTCGAAGAAGTTAAGGCAGCCTAGCTGGACGATCACAGCACGTCAATGCTAGCTGTTTCTCAGTATCGGGCGGACGTTTCGTCCCTGTCGAGCCCCCGATCAGACAAAGTATGCGAAAAAGGTGTGGGAGCATTGCCCCAACACGTGTGCAAGGAACCCTGACGGAACAAGTTTGTCATGTTTTATTTCCGTAGTGTTTGCTTCTGTCTTTTGTTGTTCCCCGTCATGATTTGTTCCGTCATGTGTTTTTTTCCGTTCGTTCTCTTCGCCTCCCAAGCATGTGCGTGCCGCCCTACCCTCCTTCGATGGACGCCGCCCTGTCCTCCACGCCTGGACAGAGCCAGGAGTAGGGGGGAAGGCCCCCGTCCTCTCTTCTCCCCTCCTCATCCCCCTCCTCGCCCGACATGTCAACCCTGAAGGACTGTCAACTGGCGGCCCGCTCGTAGACCTGGCAGAGTGGTCAGTGATCGTCTCCCCGTGTTGGTTCGCAACCGATATGATCCCTGACCCCTCCTCCTCCTGCAGTTCGAGGATGGGGACCTCGACTAGCGCTGCTTGGGGTGGGGTGCCCTGTCGGCTGGACCCAGGACCGTGGGGAAGGAACCCTCGCCTGGGTGCAAAAAGGTCTTCTTCGAGGGGCACCCCAACGCGTTTTTCCCTTTCTCTCCCCCCTCTGAACTTCCCTCTATGGGCGTCGAACCTCCTCCTCCATTTTGGCTGAATCAATTTTGGCTCAAGGCAGACTGGCTCAAGCCAGATGAAGCACTTGCCAACCCAGGACTGGCATTAATGTAAGTCTATCTCCTCGTGCTTGCCGGCGTCGTGCACTCGGAGTCAGGCGAAATGCGGGTTTCAGGTTCAAGCGAGGTCCGTCAGCGACCGAGCTCACCCCAGACAAACATAAACAAATTTTGACGCTTTACGTATCCACACCAGTTCTGACTCGCCGCTGGCGCTCTCGCCTGCGGCTGCCGACCAAAAAGTATGAAAGAGCGTGTTCTACCGCTGCTGGCGGAAAACCGGGGGGGGTCACTACCGGTTCGAACCCCTCCCCCCCCCTCCTTCCCTCCGGAAAACCGGGGGGGGCCACTACCGGTTCGAACCCCTACCCCCCCCCCCAGTTCATCATGAAAAGGCGGGGGGGGTACTACCGGTTCGAACCCCCCCTTTCCCTTCGAAAACCAGGGGGGGTCACGACCGGTTCGAACCCCCCCCCCTCCCCCCCCCTCGAAAACCGAGCGGGGGTGCGGACAGTGGTGAGGACGGTGTTGGTGGGGACAGTGGTGAGGGGACAGCGGGACAGTGGTGGGGACAGTGGGACAGTGGGACAGTGGTGGGGACGGTAGTGGTGGGGACAGTGGTGGGGACAAGGGTGGGAACAGGGGGGACAGTGGACAGTGGTGGGGACGGTGGTGGTGGGGACAGTGGTGTGGGGACAGTGGGAAAAAGGTGGAAACAGTGGGACAGTGGAGGGTACAATGGTGTTGGGGACATTGGTGAAGGCGGTGGCGGGGACGGCGGTGGGACAACGGGACAGAGGTACAGTGGGGACAATGGTGGGGACAGTGGGGACAGTGGTAGGAACAGTGGGACAGCGGAGGAGTCAGTGGAACAGTGGGGACAGTGGGGATAGTCGGGCAGTGGTTGGGGCCGTGGAGACAGTGGTGAGAGTGGAACCGTGGTGGGAACAGTGGTGGGGACAGTGGGGACAGTGCGACAGTGGTGGGGGCACTGGTGGGGACAGTAGGGACGGTGGTGGAACCAGTGGGGACAGTGGTGGTGAGGACAGTGGTGGTGCTGGGAACAACAGTGGGGGATGTGATGCGGACGGTGGTAGGGACCGGGAGTCGTTTGCTGGCGGTGGGGGGGGGGGGGTCGAACCGGTAGTGACCCCCCTCCGGTTTTCGAGGGGGGGGGTAGGGGGGGGGGTTCGAACCGGTACTGACCCCCCGCGGTTTTCCAGATCCGGAGGGGGGGGGGGGGGGGGGGGTTCGAACCGGTAGTGACCCCCCCGGCTTACGAGGGGGAGGGTGGGGGAGGGGTTAGGGGAGGGGGGGGTTTTGCCGGGGGAGGAGGGGGGGGGGTCCAGCCGGAGGGGGGGGGGATTTTCGGAGGGGGGGGGGGGCGACCCCTGGGCTCCAGAGGAAAAGGTTGGCAATTTTCCACCGTAAAGCGGCGGTGGATCACGCTCTCTCAAAAGTATCCACACCAGCTGTCACCTCGACAAGTGACTCCGCTAGGTCCACCGCCGGAGCCGCAGCGTAGCTCGCTCCTGTGCGCTCTTGTGCGGAATATAGTTCGCTGTTCGTTAGCTGCGTTTTTGACGGCGCCTGGCATTCCTCCGCGTTCGCGAACAAAAAGTATCCCCACCAGCCCATTCACAAACGATGCCCAGGCGAGTTGCCGTGATCGGGGAAGCGGAGGAGCATGCGGTGGCTGGGGAAATCGTCGAATTGAAGTCTCGGGTCAGCCTGCGCAGACCCAGGAACGAACCGTATGCGCCTTCGTGGACTTGCCGAATGAGGAAAGGCGGGGAAGAAGAACGAGGGGGATGAGGGAGAGGAGAAGAAGGAAAAGGGGGAGGAGGAGGAGGATAAAGTGGAGGAGGAGGAAGAGGAGGAGGAGGAGGAGGAGGAGGAGGAGGAGGAGGAGGAGGAGGAGGAGGACGGGGAGGAGGGAGGGGGAGAAACGGGAGGAGGAATGGGAGGAGGAAAAGGGGCAGGAGGAGGAGGAGGACGAGGAGGAGGAGAACAATTGCGAGTTTGGGGGCTTTTTGGGGTGTCTTGTGGACCTCTTGGCGGTCCCGGCGGCATCTTGCGTACCTCGGGGAGCCTCTTGGGGCCTTAGAAGTCTCTCGGGAGCCTCTTGGGGGCATTTTGGGGCCTCCTTGGCGCCTCTTTGGGCCCTCTTGGGGCGCTCTTGGGTGGCTTGGGACGCTCTTGAAACCGTCTTGGCGGACATCGATTATAGAAGGGAAGTGCTTCAACTTGCCTTGTCCCGTCTAGAGTGCCTAGATTTGTCTCTTGGACCCCTGTTGGAGCGCCCATGTGGAGCGCTTGGGCGCTCTTGGGGCCGTCGTGGGGTTTTCTCAGGCCTCCCTTGGGGCTCCCGGCTCTCTGGAGCTCTCTTGAAGCTGCCTGTAGGCCTCGGAAGGCCAACGAAAGCAGAAACGCTAGAAGGCACAATTCGCGGATTTCCGTGAGTTTTTGAAATGAGTTGGTTTTTTGGCGGCCTCCGTGAGACATTCCGTGGCCATTTGGAGCAGTTTTGAAACGGTCTTGAGACCTTTTGGAGCATGTTGGGAGCCATTTGGAGGCATCTTGGGCTTTCTTGTGCCATCTTGGAGGTCATCTTGGGCTCTTTGAGGCCCTCTTGGGGCCGTCTTGGGCCATCTTAGATGCTCTGACCGCTCGTGGGGCGCCCCGTCCAGGTCCAAGGGAGGGGGTATTGGGAGGGGTCAAGACACCCCCTGGATAGCAAGCCGTCTAGCCCACTCCCACCCGCCCTCCCAACACATGAGTAACACCCGAGCCTGAGCATGTTCAGCGGTCGTCTTTGGATGGACAGCTACTGGAAACCAAAACCGACCCCATGTGCGCGACGCTGGGGCGAGGTGCGCCACGCGTGCCAGGCGCGCCACGCGCGCCAGGCACCCCTGGGGCCCGAGCGTGTCAGGCGCGGCTGGTGCGAGATGCGCCACGTGCTGCACGTGTGCCAGGTGTGCCGCATACTCCAACCGCGCCAGGTGCGCCATGTTCGGGGCACGTGCAGAGTGTGTCAGGTGCGCTTGAGCACGTGACATCACACATCGGGAAACATGGCGCCCCCCACCATCTTATCGACAACCAATGCCCATCATTGTGTCTGGTGGGCCTGCGCACAGCAGGCCATGCACCACCGCCCCCGCCGTTCCTGTCCAAAACCATTTTGCAGTGATCGCGGGGTGGCCGCGCATGAGCCAGATTTAGCCGCGAGGTGTATTTTGTCTTTCTTTTTGTTAGGGATGGGACCCTTGCGCACAGCAGGCAATATGGTGGCACCCCCGCCGACCCGGTCAAGCACAATACAACGTGCTCGCGGGTTTCACGAAGATGACGCAAGATTTTGTCCCACAGTGTATTTCGTATTGTTTTTTGGATAGGGATGGTGGGGGAGGCGCATCGGGTTGGCCGCGCATGCTCCAAAAGTGGAGGCAGAGTGTGTTTTGCGTTAGTTTGTGACCGGGAGGGTGAGGGGGGGTGAGCATGCTTCCTGTTTGGCCGCCAGTCGCCTGGGTGATAGGGGTGTATATCAATAGGGAACACATCAATCCCTCCCCGAAGGGGAAGAGGGGGCTTGTGCGAATACCAGGGGGCTGGTGGGAATACCAGGGTCTCCTGGACAGCTCATACGAAGATTTGATAATAGACGAAAGGGCCGTACCACCTGCGATTCATGATACTCCAGTGTGGTTCAAGAACTTCGAGGAGCGCTAAGAGAAGAAGAAGTTCGAGACAATTGGGAAACAGTTCAGCCAATTGCGCAACATGCTCAAGGAGGTGGGGAAGAATGCGAAAGAGGCGAAAGAAGTGGCGGATAAGGCTAAGGAAACGTGGGAGGATTTCGAAACCGACTTACACAACCTACGGGAGGATGTCGGAGGGTTGTACGTAACAAAGACGGATCTGCAAAACACTGGAGCTCATCGTAGCAGCGGAGGGCCAGGGAGTTTTTGGACACGGTTCGGGAGGAGGGCACTGATTTCGAGGGGAGGGCGCGGAAGGACCATGGAGAGGAGGACAATGACATCAGGATGGAGTTGTGGGTCATTTCTGGTGGCTTCCAGCGAGGCACGGATGCGGATGACATCGCTTCGGCAACCCAGGATTTCTTCAATATCCATTCGTGGAGTCATAAAGTCCGACAAGTGTCTACATTCAGTGACCTTTTTTTCAGCATCGGGCCCATGCAGTTTGATCTTGTTGCTGCGAAAATCGG